ATTTTTAGGAAAATTCTTACCAGGTTGCGTTAATCATGGAGTAATGACTTGTAAACACTCTGTCGAGACATGAAGAACACATTAACAGCTGGGTGGCGTCCATCACCTCACAAGTTGATTTACAGCATTTAATCTGAAAATCAAATCATTTTGTCCATCAGAAACTGAAACACGCCAAGAAATTACAACACACTGGCTAGGGTAAAAAAACATCCTAACATTCCTAGTTTGTTTGTTTGTTTGGTTTTTCACTATTAACTCAAATATTAGTTTTTAAAGCTTCAAACAATAAGATGGAATCGTAGTCACTATCACTATGACTAACACTGCACAATCAATAAAAATCGTAAAAAGGTCAATAACCGCAAAACTTCGTAACCTCCAACCTGTCTCTGAAGTTTGTAGGAGTAAAGTTTCGTATGGCTGGGATACTCCATTAGATGATCGATAAGATGTCCGCGGCCGTCGCATAAAATTAATCTGGAAAAGAAGATTTATATCTTAATAAAACACAGAAAATTCACCAAATTACCTGTCATTTTTTTCGTTTCGCTCTCTTTATGCACCACGTTGTGAAAGGCTTATCACTGGCTTTGTAATGATCATACTTCACAGTGAATTGTTTATACACTAAAACAACAACTTACAGCAACAAAAACAAAAGAAAAAATCACTCTCACAAAAAAAAAAGAAAAGGAATCAAGTATATAATTATCTTAAAAATAATCAGTGAAAAATCAACAATCATCACTTGCTGGAAATTCGTGTGACTTGGTACCAATAGCTATTCTTTTCACTTACCCACACTCAAAACAGTACGCCAGGTTTGACCTCACGCCACAGTCACTACACTTTGCATCTTTGGATTCGCGAAGCATGTGACATCTGTTCGCAGAGAAAGGGATAGCAAATTGTTTCAGGAACACTGATACATTGATTCTACATTCTCAGAGATTTGACTCCAAGCCTTCACCCCCAACCTTCACTCCTCAAACACCAAGGCTCCTCCTAGCATGGTTATGGTCACTTCCCGAAAGCAGCACATTCAGCTTGCTCCATGTTCTCATATGTCATAAGTGGCTAAGCGAGCTCTTAAAATAACTACATACCGCATTCCCTCGAATAGAGGCATCCCACTAGCTTATTATCGTAGAAATCACTAGACTAGAAAATGGTCTGGTTGTTCCTGGGAAGTTAACGGCATTTACCAAGAGCGCGGCAATAGGAGAAAAATTAAACGATTAGAAAGCTGTTGGAGGTAGATTTAACTGGAAGCGCCTTGAAGGAACTATTCTCCTGTACTGATTCCGCTGTAGTACAAGCTTTTAAAAAATCAATTACGTGACAATAGTAACAGGTTTTCCTTGTGTTCCTACTACGTGAAAAACAGAGGGAGGAGAAGGAGAGGCGTTTTTTCGAGAGGAGCGCTTGTTTAACATTATGGCCAAAGGGGACTTATCTGAGCGTGGGCGCTTATCTGAGCGTGGGCGCTTATCTGAGCGTGGGCGCTTATCTGAGCGTGGGCGTTTATCTGAGCGTGGGCGTTTATCTGAGCGTGGGTGCTTATCTGAGCGTGGGCGCTTATTCTAGGATTTAAAGTGCAATGCACAGTGTATATCAACCAAACTTTTGGTACTTTTTCTGGACATATTTTCCCTCTAAAACCCTAGGACATGCAGTTGTTGTACAATTGCGGGTATGCTCTCACCTTTTGTAATACTCTTTTAATCGGCTGGAGTCATACGGCCCCTCTGAAGGTTTCTAAAAAATCAATAATGACACATCAAAGAGATTTTTTTCGAGAAAAAAATTATGCAGACGTTCTTAAAACCATTATTATTATAAATGAAATCAAACCTGCATGAATAATAATGTTACAAATATTAAACAAGAATGGCTTTTAACATACCTGTAGAGTATCACTGCAACTGTATAAAAATTCATTTTGCTGCCTTGCAAATTCTAAATGGACAATTGGTGAAGACATTTTTAATGCTCAATGTATGTTAATAAATTTTACCATAAAATAAACAAAGATCTACCCTATATTGTAAATACCTTTTAAACAAAATGGTTGGTGGCTTTAAAAGGAATGTACATATCATGCAAAGCATACAAAAAAATTTTCACTCACCAACTGTTGAGCTGACAGTCTTCACTGTACAGTCTTGTGGGAGGTGACCAACCCGTCTGCATCTCCAACTGAAAACAATCAAAGCACCACATGGCTGATACACAGTAGCTCCTTGAAACTTAAAACAATTCTATAATCTTCAAGTTATTAAATTGAGTGGAATTTCATCACAGTGCTAGAAAAAAAGACCCTATGAATATGGTTCTACTTTTGACACGGTGAAGCCATACATGTGAGGTTCAGCCTGGATCACCAACACCCCTGGGGACTGCGCTTAATAGCCAGGATAATCAAGAGTCCGAATAATCGAAAATATGATTATAAATGGTTATAGATAGTGGGACCAGAGAAGCAAGTTCATATAATAAAAAAATTCTGGATAATTGAGGTTTCAGTGTACTTAGTTTTGGTCTGCGGCTATAAAATACGTGTACTAATGAAGTGTCATTTTAGATTCAAGTTGACTTGCAAGAATGGTGAGCCATCTGCAAGATTTCTAATGAAGAGGTGAGGGAATTCAAAGGTACAATGTAAATGCATATGCATGTGCTTGCTTCAAGCTTATTTGAGGTGAATGCCATACCACTTGTAGGTTGATAAGGTACTGATTTGTTCTTTGTATTTAAGCTTTGTTTTATCCCACATCTCTGGCTTATTTTCTGTATAACTGGTTTGATTCAGCTGCCTTCTGAACAAAATAAGACACAAAAAAATTGTATCAAATTCAGATACCAAATAGTAAATTATGTAATTTTCTTATTACCAAGAAATGGCAAAATATGTTTTTTGGTCTTGTTATAAGCATGGGACAAAAAAAAAAGGCAGATTCCATAAGGGAAATTAAACCTCAAGGGAACTCTGATTTTTTCCTTTGTACCAGGAAATGGTTAAAAGAAAACTTTATCATTTTCATGAGCAAGACCAAAATTCACCATCTTTCTTATTCTAAACCTGCTTAGAAATGATTAGTTTCCATAATTGTCAATTGTATAGTGTGATTATCCTTCCAAGTGTAGTGTTAAACCACAATGTAATTGGTGACAGTGATTGTCGATTTGTTAAAAACCTGAATGGCTGAGTTGCCAACATCAGTGACAGTTACCTCAAAAAAAAATCCCTTTGGAGGCTGCTTAGTCAGCTGGATAATCACACCACAGAAACAACAACCATTTGATTCACAAGTTAAATGTTAATTGTTCACTATTTTCATCCTCTTTACACACCTTCCAGTTGATAGAATAAATATCAATACTAATAACAAATTCAAAGACACAACACACACATTTTAACAAATTCAAAGACACAACACACAAACTTAAAGAGTCTAACAATGAAAGACATAAATTAAACTACAATTTATGCAAGACATACTTTTCCTCCTTTGCTCTTGTGTATCTACTTGATCTTTCACAGTATGTTTCCGAGGAAGTTTTAGATTTTGAGCTCTTAAGATAACAAGAAAAAAATGACAAAATAAGTTCTTTATAATAGAAAATAATACTCCAATTCATTTGCACAAATTTTTTTCAGAATTGTTTGTTAATTTGATAGATAATGATTTTTAAGAATCAAGTACTTTGATTTCCTTTTCGTTGGAATTCAGTCCAAAAAAGTCTGTTTCACCCTCATCGGAGTCATCACTCTCATTGGTTGTAGATGAAGAATATCCATCCATCTGTGCATTTTTAGAATCATTGTCACCATCATCTGAGGAGCCACAGTCTTTGTATGCTATACAACAAGAAAAAAAGGATTCTACTGTAATGCCAGGGTTTTCTGGTTGGGGGCATAACGTGTGTGATTTGATTTAACAAATGACCCAGCAACATACAAAGTTACCCTCAGCTGGTTAGACCCAGAAGTAAGAAGTTCAACAAAAGGTCTCCTTAGTTGTAAAATGTTATCACCAATGTTAAAAAAAGATAAAAGCAGATGTGATTACCTCAAGTGCCTGACCTTTCACAGCTCATACCTGAGTTAAAGATCAGATACCTTTCCTTTTCAAGAATTGAAAATTTGATCACAGAACTTTAGCCCTCTCATTTCAATTCCAAATAATGAAAATAAATTTAAATTAAAGATTGTTCAATATGGGGAAATCAAAGTATAGATCATAGAATTATGAGTGGATGAGAAAATTAATTGCTGATTGCTCAGAATTCATAAATTTCTTCTTTTCTTCTTAGATTTCAGCTGATGAATCCCATGGCATTCATTTTTCATATTAATAATGCATTTTCTCAAATGGCACCAACCAAAGGAGGTAACAAGAGATCCGCAAGTTAAAACCAAACATAACAGAAACTTTCATTTTTTGTACGAGATTTTACCCAACAGTGCTGGTGGAATGGTAAGTGGTTCATCTAAAGTCAAAGGAAGAGATCCTGAATTTGACTTTGACACAGAGGGATCAGGATGTTCTTCATCCCCTTCTCCATTGTTTTGCTTTCCTCTTTTCCTCCTTCTTCTTCTTGCTGGTGATTGCCTCTTCTTACCTGAGAGCCAAAAAAAAATTTAAGAGTTGTCCTAAAAGCACAGGCAGATTCAGAGTCTTTTCTACTCCACATATTATTAAAAACTTTGTAGAAAGATCTATTAAATATAATTCAACAAAATAAAAAAAATTGGTTTCACAGAACCTTTTTTGAGGAAACACATGAAGATAAAAATTTAGGGGTGATTTTAATTAAGACACTCATTTTGCTATCTAAAAGTCAGTAACTGCCTTTAACTTAGCAGCATTTCATATTTTCTGGACAGAAAGCAACAAATACCATCATCAACTATCTCTCCACTGTAGAAGAACTTAATACACTGTCTGCCTTGGACAAACAAATAGTACCTTCAATTTTGGAGCTTTTAGAGGCATTTGTAATAAGAGTTCCAAACACTGCACCTTCGTCAGATCCTACAATGAATTATAGGAACACTTTTAATAACTCAATGTATAAAAGAATCCAGATGTTTCCTATAAAAATTTTATTTTAACAGACTACAGACATTAGAAACACATACTTAAATCATTTCACAGATACTGTGGAATTATATTTGATCATTCAAAGTTCAACTAGCACTTCATTATTTTTTTTATATTTGTGTCACTTGCATCATACTTGCACCGCAGTTATTTCCATTCAACTTGAAATTATAATTGATAAAATTTTGACAAAACAGGGAATCTAAAATTTGCATTTTTCATGCATAACCACTGATTCATTAATAAATAAAAAAAATAATCAATCCAGCACCACTCAAAAGAATATTGAGAAAAAGAAAAAAATCATGCAATCATTAGAATATCACACAGCAATTGACAGAAAAGCTCCAAAGAAAAATGTGCAGTCAGACCATTTGAATCTCTCTGCAAAGAATTTTGCTCACACAGAACATTTACACGCCTTTATTGAATTGTCAAACCAAAATTATCTTCTTTGTTTGCAGTTTGGCACTTCTTTCAATGCACAAAACATTTTCTCCTTTGTGTATTTCAATATGTCTGCTCCAGCACTACCCCACTTCGGCATTTGTTATACCTCACACCCATAATTTTACCTGCCTGAGCAACGACATGTGATTGGTTTGAGAATTTCAAACAACTTTCGATTGGCCAATATTTTGACAATACCATCAATTTATAAACTTGAAATGTGCTAATAACACATGGTGCTCAAGTAAGCTAAAGGTCATTGTTGGGCTTGGCCTTAGTTGGCTTCAGAAAGGCGTTGTAGCTGATCAAAGCCTTAATCATTGAGCGTAACTTTTGCTGATTTCAAAGCATAAAGATGGCGACAGAAGTTAAATCACTGCCTGTGAATATTGAGATTGATCCAATTGAAATGAAAACTCTCATAATAGTGTAAATTACCTAACATGCATAGTTTTTCATAGGCAAAGCCTACATCTCACCCTGTTTCAAGAAATATAGAGGTCAATATATAGTGATATGTCATAGGTATACATGACAAAGAATTATTTGAACAGTAGCTTAAAACATTTGAGCAACTGCACTCCTGATTCAAGAAAAATTTGAGCAGCAGCTCAAATCATCTCTATCACCAAATAGAGGCTTCCCAAAAGGGTGCATTGTCACCAAATATACATAATGCCTTCCCATGGGAGGGGATTAGGGTTAAGGAGTCACATGGACATAGCTTAGTAGCTCTACTCTAAACACTCACCAAATCTTTCAGAAACATTCTTTAGTTCATTCTTGTTTACTTGGCCTGTAGCAATTTTGTAAGCCTATAGAGGTTAAAAAGACAAGCTTATTAACGGAAGGTTACTGACAATAATCAGACCCTCTTCCAAACACAGGCTGGTATAAAAGAAATGTTATATTTATGTATTCTGATCATACAGGGTGATCTTAGGAAAGACAGATGTTTTGACAACCTCAAGTCATCATCAGAGTTGACAAATTAATAAATAGATTACATGTCACTGTGCTGCATCTGTTTGGTAAAAGATTACTGATGACATCAAAATGTAGTAAAAACAAAACTATTGCACACAGAGTGCAGCTGAGAGTGTCACGAATGTTCTTACCACATCTTGACATCTGCTGTGCTCTATTACTGTACAGAGCCACAGCAACATGGAATTGATTTGTTTTATACATGTATGGTAAGGAAAGAAAAATGTTGTCACTGTTGAGGTCACCTATTTATCTGTCTTCCAATAGATCAGCTTATCGTATCAGTTCACTATGACAATGACTTCTGCTAAGAGTATCACAATGATAGCCATACTGCCAACACCAATCTTTCTCAAGACTAACATCACCTGAGCGATTAGACTACATGGTGTTAATCCCAAGATCAAACCCTCTTTTTAGTGTATTTAATTGTTACATATGTAAAAATTCAATGAGTGAGAGGTTTAATTTCAAATTTATAATTATAAGTGAGTGGTGCAAAGGAATTTCTACTATTCCACATACCTGTAAATTTCCAAGAAATTTGTCAAGCTTGAAACCTTTGGCATCTGTATTGCACATATAAAAGGAAAAAAACAGATTAGGTGGTTTTTTTTTGGGAACATTCAGATTTCATGGAAATGTTCGTTGTATACATTGGTAAACAAAGAAGCTTACACTATTGAAAACGACAGAATATGATACAGTTCATATTAACTACATATAACATAAATTATTAGTAAATTTAGAGGTGTATTCGAGTGCAAATTCCCTCAAGACCCTCAACAAAGCAATGCCCTTAAAAAAGCATTGTTTTGGAGTCAACTTCCCCGTAGAATTTTGCGACTGGTAGGTTTTTTCCTTTCACCTGTCGTCTTGTTCGAAACCTGCTAAGTAAATAAGTAACTTATTTATTTAACCAC